TGCAATTATAAAAATACATAAAAAATATTTTAACCATATTTTGGCATAAATATAAAAATTAAATAACTAAATCACCACAAAAATAATTTGAGGAATAATTATTGGGGATTTTATGAGTAACATGGAAGGAAATAAATCAATTTAACATCTTTAAAATTATGGGAAAATTATAACAACCTTGTGCATGCTTATATATGCATATGTATGCTATTTTGAAAGTATTTATGCACATTAAAATATGTAGAAATTGGGTATCAACACCTCTAATCAATTAAATTTTATGATTATACATAAGATTTAACATCAAATTCATGAAAATCTAGGAAAAAATTTGGGGATTTTGTCAAAGTTTTGAAAAATAAAAATCTGGGATTTGAGAGTCGCATATGACTCGGATTTGAAAACAAAACACGTATATGGACTTGTGGGGCTATGGGTAGTCAAGACCATCGGGTTGACTTTTTCAAAATTGTATAAAGATCATCGCTTTATTAATTAAAATTATTTTCTCTTGCATTATGTGATATATTTAAGTCGTCTTTGGCTAGATTGAGTCGAGCGGTGGTAAATTCATAAAGAAAAAAGCTAAATTGAGTATTGAGTTAGCTAAATTGAGGTAAGTGTCTTGCCTCACTTTGTTGAGGGAATTTTTCCTACTATTTGATATTATTTGTTATATGCAGGGGTGATACATATATGAGGTGACGAGCATATATGCATATTCCAAGGTTAATCATGCTGGGGGTAGATTATGCTACGAACTGTGCCTTGTAGAATTACGTGACTTTCTTGCTTCATGTTTTACTTGATTCATAGATTCTAAGAACATAGAATTAAATATTATAAACCAAGACTTAGTTTATTATAACTTGATTAAACTTGACGGAATTCTAAGAAAACATTGATTTGTCTAATTCGGTCATCATTATGCTTAATCATTAATACATTGCTACGACTGATATTCTTGAGATACTAGATTCTATACTCTTGTTGTGGATCATTCGTGAGATTTGTTGAAATACTTGAATGATAAGGTTCTTGAGGGTTTATTGAATTATTGTTAGCTTGAAAAGTTATGATTGGGATTCATTTGGACTGTTCGTTTAAATACTCTCCTTGATGTTATGTATGCTTCCTACCTTATTTGCCATCGATATACATATGCTTGGTAAGGAAGAGTGTAGATCATGAAGGGTGATGCCGTGCCATGTTATGAGACTATAAAGCATGAAGGGTGATGTCGTGCCATGTTATATAAGTGTAAAACACGAAGGGTGATGTCGTGACATATTATTTGACAGTAAAAGCATGAAGGATGATGTCGTGCCATGCTATGTGAGTGTAAAGCACGAAGGGCGATGTCATGTCATTTCATTTATATTATCATGCTTTTATATTATCATGAGTTCATGGCACAATGGGTGTTTCCGTGCAGGCAAAGATGAGAGACATGCATTATATTGTGATATCTTTTCCTTGTGTATATGTTCATGCCTTTACATTGAGCTGTTATTGTCGTACTTATAGTTCTTATGTGACTTTTTGTTATTGCCCTGTCCTTGTCCTCTATCTTAATTGTTATCGTGTTGTCATGCCATCTACTTGCTAAACTTGCAAACACTATGCCTACTTCCTGTTGTTATAATTACGTCCATGTTGTATCTATTTTGTTGCACTTTAGTACAAGTCTTCCACCATGTTAGTCATTTATGCCTCTACTTGTTAACTTATAAAGAACATGTGTTCCCTTCTTATTTGTTTTTCTATATCTAGGCCTTCTACCATGCTAGTTAGTTGAAGTTTATATTCCATTTTCCTAATTGTTGTCATTACTCCTATGTCTTCCGCCTAGTCTATTACTGTTGCCATATGTATATCCTCATTCATTATTGCTATTTGAGTATTTCCTACTTTGTCATTATTGTTATCAGCATTTTTGTCATCCGGTTGGTACTGGTATATGTATATTTGGTGAGGATGAGATAAATGCACAAAGGGTTTTGCCGTGCCATTGACTTGATATCTGAGTATATTCCTCACGCTATGAAAGTTATGGAGTGACTATCGTGTTTTATTAGTTTTCGCTCAAAGGAAAAGATTGTTCGAGATATTGGAAATTATTAAATTGTGATCTCTTCTAGTACTCAGTTATTGCTTTGCATATCCGTTTTGTGTACTCTTTTCTGTTATATCGTAGTATTGTTCTTGCTAGTTTATGGTTCAGGTTTTATTAGTGAGTATTTTTAAATAAAAAGCCTTGTTACTACTTCGACGAGGTTAGACAAGATACTTACTGGGTACATGGAGTCGATTGTACTCATACTATACTTCTGCACCTTGCGTGCAGATTTTGGGGTGGAGCTGCTAGTGATATCGGGAGCTGACTCTGAAGATGTTCGTGCATTCCGGATATAGCTGCCACCTGTCCTTGGTAGCTTTAGATTTTGCTAATCTGTTTATGTAACTTTCAAACAGATCGTGTAATTATTTAAATCAGCTTTGTAAATTCCAAGTCTTAGAAGCTCATGATTTGTACCACCAGTTCTTGGGTAAATTTGTAAATGTTCAGATAATTCTTCACTTTTTTCTTATAATCTCGTTTGGTTTGTACCCACTTTTTAAATAACTTCAGCCTCATTTCTCCCCCTCCTTCTCCTGCTTCGTTTTCTTCTTCAAGTTACAAAATAAACTGGTATTTATCTCCAGAAGCAACGCTGCTTTAGTTATAAGGACAACTTTTTTTAATTGAACAGTTCGACAGTTGTACTTCTGCTCCAAATTTACAGCAAATTAGTCTTAGGAAAAAGTTTAAGTTACCAATAGGATGAGCTGTAAAATTTTGGAGTTTTTGTATGTTTATTCGTATTTGAGCTGAGAAGATGTACGCTATTTTTCTTAAAAAATCACTGCTAATCGTGGTGTTTCAGCTCTAGAGCTGAAGTTCGCCAGTACAAAACAAAAACTTCAGCTATAGAGCTGAAGTTCGCCAGTTCCAAAACAAAAAATTCAACTCTAGAGTTGAACTTCGCCAGTTACAAAAACAAAAACTTCAGCTCTAGAACTGAAGTTCGCCAGTTAAAAAATAAAAACTTCAGCTCTAGAGCTGAACTTCAGGCCTGGCTACTAGAATGCTGAAGTTTTGCGTGATTGTCTTTGCTACTTCAGCCCCGTATGCTGAAGTTATGCGAAAAGCGGGTATATTTTTTTGCAAAGCGGGCACAAGTTAAAACGTGACACAAAAAGCGGGTATAGATGCAAATGCCCCGAAAATTTCACATTAGAACAATTTAGCTCCATACTTTTCAATTTTATAGCCCATATTTTAATTTACAACCAACTAGCCCAAAAATAATAGGCTAAGATTCAACATCCAACTCAAATAGATTCTCAAAATTACTATTTAATTTTTTTAAAAAATTCCTCAAGCTTTTAAATTAATTTTCGAATCAGTAACTGTGATTCAAATATTAATTCAACAAACCAAATTCATTTGGGTGGTGAAAATTAGATTTTTAACAAGCTTAAATATGTAGGTTTAAATTCCGATTTGATTTTGTGAGAAATTTGGAGTGGGTGTTATTTAGACTTGTTAGAAATAGTATAAGGAGGTTGTATATAAAATTTGAAGTCATTTAATGGAGATTTAGACTGGTTTTGAACGAGAATTGCAACTGAAAATCGTGGAAGAAGTTCGTCTACAAACGCTTGTATAAAGGTGTATAAAAGTGTATAAGGTGTGTTTCTACACTCATATACACTATTATACAATATTATACAAAAAACAGACTTCGTCTTCTTCTTTGCGTCTTTTCTGAAATTTAACTCAAATCTTGCTCAAATCTATTTCAAATCACTTCAAAATTAAAAATTGAACTTCTTTTGATATTTTCAATCAAATGGAACAACACCCAATCCAAACAACTAACAAATTCAAAAAAATCCATTTTCAAAAGCAAAGCTTTGAATGGTCCTCAATGGTGGACTTCTACTCTTCAATTTTCTTACATTGCAAGCAGGTGACACAAGAGGAGAACAGAAAATACATGACCCTTGAAGCATATGTAAAAGATGTGAGAAGAAGAGAGAGTGAAAGCAATGGTGGTAAGAACAAAGAATTAACTACATAGCTTTTAGAAGCAATGATTGTAAGAACACAAATTTTGAATTTGCAAGTGCTTTCAAAATATTTACAATGTGAGCTAGGTGGGGTAAACTTAAAAACATATGCCATTTTTTATTATGGTGTGAAGTCATATGTATTTTCTTGTAATTCTTTATTAGAAGATTATATAACTAAAACAAAATTAACATGAGCATAATGAAAATAAAATCAGATTTCAGTCAATAAATCTTGCAACAAATAAATTAGATGGTTCAATCAAAATAAATTCTTGGCTTGACTACATTATGGATGACTTGAATTCAACACCGTTATTAGTTGGTAAGACAGAAGTAATCTAATCTTGGATTAATTACCGTGCTCGCAAATAGCAAGTTATAAAATGTAATACAGTGACTTTTAATTGATATTATTGAAGATTAATTGAAAGATAGTATAAGAAACCTAAATATTGTTTAGGATTTAGTATTTGTTAGTCCAATTGACCTCTTCGCGAGGTTATTAATAAATTATCAAACTTTAGATTAAATTATATACATTGAAAATATAAAATAAAAATGTATAACTTTAACTTGTGAGTTGTGAATACTGAATAGCAAATTAATTACATGTAATTGCTTAATAAGTAATCTAATGCTGTAATTTTTTTTAAAAATTTAAAGTTATCTTATTTCAGCATAAGCCTTAAATCACGGAACTACGAGATTCTACATCAATTTTAATTAGTCAAAAGTTGGTCAATTAATAATTCGAATTATATTAATGGCTGGAAAAAAGAATCAAAAGAGGCTACATGGAAATAGGAATGATGGAAACATCACAAGAAGTAAACACTATTTCAGTATTAGTCCTTCATTCGACTTTCATTTACATTTCACCCCCTAAACTTCTCAAAAACCACAGGTCCACAATCCTTAGCCCCTTATCTCCACCAAACTCGTTCTCGTCGAAGCATCTTTGAACTTCTTAACAATGGCTAACACTTTATGTATAACTCTCACTCAATCTACTTGTCCCACTTTACCAAAGCTTTATTCATCAAAATCCATTCTTCAGAAATCAAATAGAATCTCTCTTACCCCATTTCTCAAATTTCAAGATTCAGCTCCTACTCAATCTTCCACCAGAGGGTTCACTACTATATGCTTTTCTCGTCCCAGAAATGGTCCTGATTATAAAGTAAGTTAATTATATTATCAGCAAGATTGACCACTACTCTTTTTGCTTTTATTAAATGGTACTTCCTGTCCAATTTTACGTACCACACTTTTCTTTTTAATTTATCCCCAAAAGAATAACACCTTGTCGGAACAATTCAATTTATAGTCATATGTCTTGTTTTAGACCGCACGTTTCAAAATTTTTTTAATTAAACTTTGTGTCTAGTCAAACGGTACATGAGAAGGTCATATAGCAAAAACTAGTTTGCTATCAAGGCATATTATTTATTGATGATTTTGTGGTATATCTTGATTGTGATGTTGAATTAATAAAAAAGGCATCCTGGTGCACTAAGCTCCCGTTATGCGCGGGATTTAAGGAAGGGTCGGACCACAAGGGTCTATTCTATGCATCTTTACCCTGCATTTCTGCAAGAGACTGTTTACCCGACTCGAACCTGTGACCTCCTGGTTATGTATTAGGTGGAAGTAATTGTGCTATGCCGAAAGTAGTGTTGTGGAATCTTGAAATTGAAAATGATAAATTTGAATGCTTTTAGAAAGAGCTTCTAAGATTTTTTTTTTCTTTGAGTAATTCTTGTGTTGTTTCTCTTCCCTACAGGGAAGTGGACCTGACTGGCCAATTTTGAGACGCTGGAATGTGCCATGGAATTGGCAAACTGTCTCACTTTCTTCGCTTGCGTGTGGATTGAGGTGTTATTTAGTTACCTCACTAAGTTTTCAAATATGTCTGATCAATGAAGTGTAATCTTATTGTGATTAGTAAAAAAAACAATTTTTTTGTAACGGGATACTCCCTCCTGTCCCATTTTATATGGTGGTTTTTTATTGTGCACATAATTAAGAAAGAAAGAAAGACTTTTGAAACTTGTGGTTTAAAACAAATCGTAGACATTTGTGTGGCTATAAAACATCATATTAAGGTAAAATGGGTGAAATGCAACGTTTTATTGGTTTAACTTGCTGTAAATGGAAGTTTTTTTCTTCTAGTTTGTCTAAAGTATCTTTATAAGCTGATGTTCTGTTTTGTCGTGGAAATATACTGGGCAACTAGCAACCAAGTATTGATCTTGGGAGGAAAAAGCTAACTAATATTCAGGCAGTTTTGTTTTGACAGGACTAATAGAGACAGCATCAATACCATATGTAGGACTCGATGTAGATGAATTGAGCTTGGATGAGAAGGCTGAAATTTTGTTCGCCGATCAAGCGTATGGATACTGATTCTTTTAGCACCGTTTGTTCATCCGGATTAAATAACTTCACATTTTGTCCATCCTCCAAGATTCTGATCATTTGTATACTTTTTTTGTTTTTCAGTATAACAACTGCAGTTGTGCTAATAGTCCTTTATACTCTCACCAAGTCATCTCAACCGCTCCCTGATGACATATATCGTTATGGTAATGAGTGTTTTTCAAGTGATTGACGAATTCATTTGTCTGTAGCTTTATGTAGTCAGGAAACTGGATAGAAGGCTGAGTCATAGTTTCCTCTAGTCTTAATTTGTTGCAGCAACTGGTTGATTTACGTTTGTCTATTTCCAGATTTGAAGGAACCTTTCAATCTCCAGAGAGGATGGCTTTTGTGGGCTGGAATTGGTTTAGTGGGAGCAATAGGTGCCATTGCTTTAACAGGAGTGGCAATGTCCACTTTCAACGGTGAGACGCCACCAAGAGAGGTTAGAATTGAACTAACAGTTCATCCAATCTTTTGAATTGAGAATGCCATTCTTTCTACAACCTTCAAAAGCAAATAATAAAATTGGGGTCAGAAAGAAGGATTTCTTTTAGGATCTGAGGAAATGGGTGAAATAGCTTTACTTTACCCATTGAGCGATATCCTGAGCTAGAGGACAATAATTGAGGAGCATATATGAAAATAAAGGACATAGTTTTTCAAATATATTCACATTATGGATGAGGACAATTACTCAAGAAGCATATCATAGGTTAGTTGCACACTAGCTTTTTCATGCAAAATTGTGTTGGGTTAGGCTTATCATTAAATTGGCTACATTGTGGTGATTAATGTAACAGAAAACTATGTGACTAAACTGCTATTGTTGTTTCAGCTCGTGTACATTAACGCGCATTAAAGTTCATTGTTCTCCCTGTGATGTGGTTTTTTTCCTCATTTAATTCCTTAAAACTTGTTACAGACTGATGCTCTTGCCCGATTACTCCCACTGATAGGCTCCTCAAGTATCAGGTATTTCCAAATATCTCTATTATCAATAGGCCACTGCTTTAATATTGATGGCTTTGCTGCCACTTAAAACTTTTGTAAGATATACAATAGAGTAATGAATTCTCTTCTATGTGTAGCACTGTTTCTCTGCTAGGCATTACTGGCGTGCTTGCTCCAATTCTTGAGGAGACTGTGTTTAGAGGATTTTTTATGGTCTCTCTGACCAAGTGGTATAATTCCTTCTACGCAACTTCGATTACAAATTACTACCGCTTCATATTTGGTGTGAGAACTGGCACTAGTGGTGGCAAAATGGTTAAAAGAAAACAATTATCCACCCATATTATTCGTTAAAAAATGGGCTGCATAATGAACTTTATAAAAACGGGTCAAATATGGATAATAACCATATTATCCACTTAGAAAATGGATAACTAATAGGCTTAACTTTTACATTTGTAAAGCCTCAAATTGGGGTTCCTCAAGTCTGGGAGACTAGGAATTCTCCCAAAAGTGATCATATTTAAGAAGCCATGGATAATATATCCGTCGGTTAATCTGTTTTTTATCCGTATTATATATGGGTCGGATCGAATAATTTATTTGTTTTTGTATTACCCGTTTTCGACCCTCCCATATCCTGACCCGACCGCCCGTTTTGCCACCCCTAACTGGCACTATTAAGTGACTATGTGAATCTTCTGGACTTTGTTGAGAAACTTGAAAAGGGAGGCATAAAAAGTTTTGAAAACCCAATAAACATGTAAAGATTATACTTTCACCAGTTGATCCACTTCTTTTTATATGTTATCTTTACCCAATCCAGGAATTTCTTTCTACGGATTCTGCTACCTGCATTGCTCTATGCATGCCAAGTGTGAACCCTCTTAATTTGAAAGTACTTCTGGGCTTGGTCAATTGATCCTTCAATATTATGCTTATGAACTACAATGTTATCTCTTGTGCAGTCTGTTTTGGATGTTCTGTAATAAAATTTGGTTTTCAAGGGAATGAGACTGAAAGAAAGTGGGCACAATTAGAATGGAATAGCTAGCAAAATGTTAACGAGGGTTAAATAGGAAGTGAGTAAGAACCCTCAGGGGTTGGCCTGGTGGCAATTGACTTGAGCCTTGGGGTTTGCTCCCTTTCAAGGTCTCAAGTTCGAAACCCACTGGGTGCAAACAATTTCTGAGGGCCATCGGACTGGGTAAAAACCTGAATTAACCGTGGTGCACTTGCGGAAAACTCCTTGCCGAGGGCTTGTGCACCCCCGGGAATAGTCGGGGCTCGAAGAGACTCGGACACCCGGTGCAAATCAAAAAAAATATAGGGCTAAATGAGGAAGGAGATTTAATGCATCAAATGTCGACAAAATGCACAAAGTAGAAAAAGTNCAAGAAAGGTTGTCAAACATTAATTGAGTTGTGAGTCGTGATAGACTAGTCGCTCTTGCCTGGATTCTGTTCATGAGCCAAAGAGAAAACACAATTACAAATATAAAAGGAAATCTCTGGATAAAAGATAAAGACACCAATAGAAGAAAGCCGTGATTAGCCATCTATAACTTTATCACTTGTGGGTGATTCATAAATACATCATGTTTAATGAGGACATATGACCTGATACTCTATTCTCTCATGCTTATCAATTTCTCGTTGCAGGTTACCTACACCACTCGCAGCGGTTATTAGTGGGGCTGTATTTGCTCTTGCACATCTCACTCCTGGACAATTTCCTCAGCTGTTTGTTCTTGGTATTACTTCCATATCCTTTGATATAAATGACACCGAACGATAGAAGGGTAAAAACAGAAATTACAAAAAGAAATACTAACATAAATGGTTTTTACTTCTGGAAGTTCTAGAAAGTGAAAATTAGTTCAAAAAAGAATTGTTTATACTGCATAAGACAGGATCAGCGACTTTCTATGGTTTTTATGCTAATATTTTATTCATTTTTAGTAGAATGAAATGGGTCCGATTAGAGCAGAATGGATGTAGAGCCCGGCCCTTGGGTAAAAGTCTAGCCACTTTTATGGTTGATGTTTTAAACTCAGCTACCGTTTCATAATTGTTTGAAGTTTAGCCACTTTTTAACAAGGAAATAAAAGTTTGATAAAATTATCCCTAGCTAAAACACTGAAAAATGCCAGCACAGCGTGCTGGAGTTTGAAACTAAACTATAACGCATTGTACTGAAGTTTCTCCATGTTTTAGCTAAGGGTATTTTGTTCAAATTTTATTTTCACAATAATAAAATAAACATATCACGAATCACGGGTGCATTTCATGTAGCGTGGCTTGCGGTGTGTCCCAAAACGGTAAGTGTACGACAATCGTAACTTGTTTAAGAAATAATTCCATACATCCTAAAAGCGTTTAAAATAATTAAAAGCGCTTATAAAGGTAAAATGCACAATAGGTTTAAAACATGTAGTAAATCAGATAATTAGACCAATTATTAATAGTTTAAGCGACCGTGCGGAACTAGGAAATGCCTAACACCTTCTCTCGGGTTAACAAAATTCCTTATCCATAATTTTTGGTTCGTAGACTTTAAATAAAGTCAAATTTCCTCGATTTGGAATTTAAAATAAACCGATGACTTGGGACACCATAATTTATTCCAAGTGGCGACTCTGAAGAAATTGAATAAAATAATCTCATTTCGATTATTATCACTTTAATTGAAAAAACTCCCTTATATCCCCTCTCGGGTGGTAAAAAGGAGGTGTGACAATGAGGACGGTCTGGGCCAACTTTGAACTGCCTCTATCTTATTTGGATCCACTTGAATCCTCTCACTGGATACCAAGTTCCCCAAGAACGTCACTGAACTAAGCCAAAACTCACACTTGTAGAATTTGGCATAAAGCTTCTCTTCCCTCAACCGCTGCAACAGGATCCTCAAATATTAGGCATGCTCGTCCTGGCTATGAAGAGCCGTGGTCAAGGCATTCTTGAGCTTCTGAAAGCTCTCCTCACACTCATCCGACCACCTGAAATGAGCACCCTTTTGGGTCAATTTGGTCAAGGGCGATGCAATAGACGAGAAACCCTCTATAAAGCGATGATAATAACCAACAAAACCAAGAAAGCTCTGAATCTCTGTAGCTGAGGATAGTCTGGACCAACTCTGAACCGCCTCTATCTTCTTTGGATCCACCTGAATCCCCTCACTGGACACGACGTGCCCCAAGAACGCCACTGAACTAAGGCAAAACTCATAATTGGAGAACTTGGCATAAAGCTTCTCATCCATCAACCGCTGTAACACGATCCTCAAATGGTGGACATGCCCCTCCACCATGATATCATCAATGAATACTATAACGAACGAGTCGTGATAAGGCTGAAATACACTATTCATCAGGTGCATGAATGTTGCAGGGGCGCTGGTTAGCCCAAAAGACATCACAAGGAACTCATAATGACCATAGCGGGACCTGAATGGTGTCTTTAAAATATTCTAGTCCTGAATCTTCAACCAGTGATACCTAGACTCAAATCAATCTTAGAGAACACTCTCGCTCTCTGAAGCTGGTCAAAGAGATCATCAACATGCGGTAAAAATTATCTATTTTTTCGCTCCCTGAAGCTGGTCAAAGAGATCATCAACATGCGGTAAAAATTATCTATTTTTTCGCTCCCTGAAGCTGGTCAAAGAGATCATCAACATGCGGTAAAAATTATCTATTTTTTAACTACATTTCAAATGGTGGCTAAATATTAAAAAGTGGCCATCCCACGCCATTTTAAAGCCGACCCTTTTACTAGTTTTGGATTTTGGCATAGTTGATTGATTCATTAATTGATTTTACCTGTTCTTATCACTACATATATATATTTTCTGCTGAATCTGACTTGAAAAATGACGTGCATTCAGGGACTGCTCTGGGATTTTCTTATGCTCAAACGCGGAACCTCCTAACTCCCATCACAATTCATGCTTTCTGGAACTCTGGTGTTATTTTGCTTCTGACCTTCCTTCAGGTACTTTGTGAAGTCATTTAAAGCATGGCTAACGTAGGATTACCATCTGGCAATATCTGTTGTCATGTTGCTTTCTATCTATGAATATGTTAGCGTCTTGAATAACTTCAAAGTTGTTTGACCAATAATTAAGTCTGATTTCTTCCTCTTAAATTCTTTTCTATGTAGCTCCAAGGGTATGATATCAAGGAAATAATACAAGCAACTTGACCGAGACATGGTAATTCTCCGGACAAATGCTAACTGGAGCTTGTATTTAATGGGAGAAGTTATTATCTTTTGTCCGATGCCGAGTTGTTTAATTTATTGGTAGAGCTATTAATGCTCTTTCTTCATGGAAAGCAGGCAGGGGGAAGGATCCAAGAAGGAAGCCTCTGTTAATTTCTCAATAATATCTAATATACTACTATTTGTAGGTTTTGAGTGCACAGTTTTCTTTAATACTGTATATCCTAGTGTACAAGTTAGTCGGGATCAATCTTCCATATCCATTGTGCTTCGAACGTTGTAGGCGTATAAATTTTATTAAAATTAAATCCATAAAATAATTTGGACTATATTTTAAATTCAAGATATATTGGTCCAACTAAATATTATGGGCTAATATAACTGAATTGATTATATAAGTTTAATACATATGAGTTAAATAAATAAGTCTTAATTCATTGGGCTAAAGTGATGAGCCCAGTTCATTAAGCCTAAAATGTCATCTTACTAGAGGCCCAGTTTGGTGCCACGTGTCAAATGACGTGGTGCGCCAAGTCCAACAAAAGAACTAATAGGATTATGCCACGTGTCAAAATGACAAGGCATGCCAAGTCACACTAAAAGGTTAATGAAATCGCGCCACGTGTGCAAGTGACATGTTCTGGTCAATCATATGTGGCCATGTCATATTTCAATTTGATTGGTCGGAAAGAGTTTGTTTTTATCATAACTCCTCCCTTCCACAACTATAAATAGAGATCTTCATAAGCCAGAAAAGAGGACCAGAAGTTATAACAAGAAGCAAGAGAGAGCTCAAGGATCAAACGCCGCAAATTTCTCTACAAGTTTCAAGCTTCAAGCAACCAAGTTCAAGTTTAAGAAATCAAGTTCAAGCTCAAGAACGAAGAACGAATCAATGTCAAGTTCAAGCAATCAAGCTCAAGCTCAAGAACAAGATCATCGTTCGTGGAAACAAATATAGATTCAAGATCAAGCTCAAAGGCCCTTGAATTTATTTACTATTGAAAAGAAGAATCAGAGGATCCATAGAGATTGTAACACTCAAATATTTGAAATAAAATAATACGATTGTTGCGATATTTTTCGGTATTGATTTTATTTTCTTGACGCAAATTTATTGTCTACAAATTCTGGCACGCCTAGTTGGACGATCTCTACCTCTCATCTCAATTTTTCAATCACCAAAGTCCAAGAACATTGAAATGGCTTCAAAGAAAATTAACTTCGGTTCAATTTCCACCAAGGCTGCTAACTCCAAGTTCTATGCTGATGTGGAAAGCATCCTCGGTGTTACCTTTAAAAGCTTCGGACCAGTTACGAGGAGCAAAGCGAGCTCTTTAGAACAACAAGCACCCCAAGTGTCGTCCGCATCAACACCTGTTTTCGGATCTTCACCCTCAAAAGGAGCAGGATCTTCCACAAACGCACCTGAAGGAAGAAGCGATGTTGCTGAAAAGATCAAGAAAACTCTTGCTCTGCTTGACCTCTCTAGATCCAAGCACTCTACTATGAAGGAAGATGATGATGCTTCAAGTGATGGATCCTCCCTACTTACACTACATAGGGTGAGCCAATCAAGGATCAATCTGTGTGAGATTCATGCTACTCTCCGTTGTCCACGACGATCATGCAAGTCATGGTGACAAACACTTCATTTATGGAGGAGCAGTTGGCAAACTTGACGGAAGCAATTGTTGGCTTGACCAAATGCATGCAAAATCAAGAGGCTAGAATTGACAAACTAACAGACAGGGTGAGAATCTTGATGGAAGAAGAATCCACCCATGCACCCGGCAAGCTCCCAGAAGTTCTAGAGAGTGACTCTCCCCCAAGACAAGTAGCATCCACTAAGGCTATCCCTGTCTCATCTGAAAGGATGATTCCAATCGATCAACTGAAGGAGTTCATTGAAGGAACCATTAAAAACAAATATAAAGTTGCCGCTAAATCCTCCCTTACATATGCAAAGCCGTACACTGCAAGGGTCGATATGTTGAAGATGCATGCTGGCTATCAACCTCCAAAGTTTCAATAGTTTGATGGTAAAGGTAACCCAAAGCAATATGTGGGGCACTTCGTGGAGACGTGCAACAATGCTGGGACTTATGGAGATTACCTCGTCAAGAAGTTTGTCCGCTCGCTAAAAGGAAATGCTTTTGACTAGTACATAGACCTCGAGGCTGGATCTATCGATAGCTGGGATCAACTAGAGCAAGAGTTCCTCAATCGCTTTTATAGTATGAGACGTACTGTGAGTATGATAGAACTTACAAATACTCGTCAACGAAAGTGGGAACCAGTTATCGACTTTATCTATTGTTGGAGGAATGCAAGCCTCAACTGCAAAGACATGCTTAGTGAAGCTTCAGGCATAGAGATGTGCATCTAAGGCATGCATTGGGGATTGCGATACATCTTGCAAGGTATCAAGCCTGACACATTTGAAGAACTTGCAACTCGTGCCCATGACATGGAATTGAGCATGGCCTCCGCTGGAAATGAAAGGCTGCCCATCTATGAACCTTGCAAAGGGAATGACAAGCAATAAGTTAGGAAATGAGGCAAGTTCGTACCCAAATCTGAAAGCAAAGAAGCTATGAATGTCAACACGTCACCTGTGAAGTTCATGACGAAGGTGAGAAAGAAGCAGAGTATGAAATCCACTTCTTTTCAAGATAAGCCAAGTGGAAAGTTGACTCTAAAAGAAATGCAAGAGAAAGAGTACCCATTTCTGAATTCTGATGTTCCAGCCATTTTCGAAGAACTCCTAGAGTTAAATCTTATTGAGCTTCCGGAGATGAAGCGACCAAATGAAGCTGGGAAAACAAATGACCAAAATTACTGCAAATATCACTGACTTGTAAGCCACCCTCTGGAGAAATGCTTTGTCTTCAAGGACAAAGTCATGGAATTGGCTCGCGAAAAGGAGATCGTGCTTGAAGATGAGAAAGCAAGCGCAAACCAAGTCTCTATCACCTTTGGATCATTCAGTCCGGATGAATTATGTGGTTTTAAAGAAAGTAAAGATGAAGAATTACTGGAGAGCGACAAAGCTGAAGTCAATCAACCTGATGATGATGAAGGTTGGACATTGGTGACTCGCCGTAGGCACCACAAAAGGAGCCCACGAAAAGAATCAGTAGAACAACCAACAAGGAAAATGATGGTGAAAAGACCAAGGAGATGGAATCCAGTTAAATATTTGAAGAAAGTAAAAGTGGAGGTGCACCATCCTCAAAAGCCACGACATCTAGTGACCTCGGAGGAGTTCTTACCAAGTTGGTTCCGCACGAAGATTTCCCATGAGGGCATTGATGTCTCTTGTTGCCATGCTGACAAAGGGGAAGAAAAGAGTGATGACCTACTGTTGGCACCATCTTCGGAAAAGCTCATCGAGTCCACTCCTCAAGAATTTAATGCTTGTGAGGAAAAGGTCACGTTCACAAATGACGATCTTTTACTAAGTGACACTCCTCATAACCGCCCATTGTACCTGGTTGGTTATATGCGCGATGAAAGGGTAAATAGAATTTTGGTTGATGGAGGATCCTCAGTGAACATTTTGCCAATCCACATTGTGAAAGAACTTGGTATTTCCATGAACGAACTCTCAGAAAGTCGGGTGATGATCCAAGGATTCAACCAAGGGGGGAAAAGAGCCATAGGCGCGATTAGGCTGGAAATCACCATTGAAGATATGCAATCAAGTGCATGGCTACATGTGATCGATGCAAAGACTTCATACAACGTCTTGCTTGGAAGGCCTTGGATACATGAGAACAAAGTGGTTCCATCTACCTACCATCAATGTTTGAATACTACGAGGGTGAAGTTGAGAAGAAGATAGTTGCTGATGATGAGCCATTCACCGAGGCTGAGTCACACTTCGCCGATGCAAAGTTTTACTTGAAAAACCGCATTGTGCAGGAGCTAAACATCGATGATGTCATAAAAAGCAAAAATGACGAGCCCACAACTAAAAGAGTCGAAGTGACTACTGGTCGAGTCAAAGATGTTACCGAGGAGGTACAACCCAACATGAATAAATCTTATAGAGGGGGTATTGCGTCTTATGGCAAGAAAGTGAGTCATGTGCTCCAATATGTCCCTAAAAGGAAGAAAGACGAGGGTGAATCATCTAATCTCCAAACTAACATGCCAAAGGAGTTGACTCTTCTAGTAAAACGAATTGAGGCAGTAAAGTTGTCCTCGAAGCCGCTTGCAGGTTTTGTAGCCCAAAATCGTTTGCAGAATGTGGCACTCCCTACAAAGTGAACGGATAAAGGTTTTGACCTTAACGCTTACAAGCTATTTGCAAAATCTGGATACAATCCCAATGAGCCATCAAATTTAGGGAAGCTACCATCAGAAGCTTCAACGAGGCAACCACGTGAAGGTTTGGGATACAAGCAACCGTCACTAGTGCGCATCTCCATAAGAAGGTCGAGTAGCAATTATATCACTGTTGAAGACGAATCTTCCGCTTCCAACAAGCCTTCTGTGTTTGATCGACTTGGAAAATCACATGTGAGGACCTCCGTGTTTGAAAAATTGGGTCCATTAAAGAAGGGTAACAAGTTCTAGAGAAATTTTCAAAGCATAAGAACACCCGCTTCGCCTAAAATCCAGAAGATCTCTAAGGATTTCCAAAGTTTGGTTCCTTCTAGAATGAGGCGACAAACAAAACTTGTGGCTTCATGTAAAAAAGTACTGAAGGTAAAGCCATATACTGTGGTCTACACTAAGGAGCGTGACGAATATGAAGAAAGTGCGGGTTCTTCGTATCATGTTACTGTACAAGGCGATAATGGTGTTCCATCTTCAATGAAGGATAATGCAGAATTGGAGGATGTTTCACCATGTTATCACATATCCTTCAACGATGGGGACCCTTGATATTAGGCTAGATTTATGTCATTTGATGATTGTTTTGCCCCATCTTGATTATGTTTCAATGCTCTAATATAATTAAATGATGAAAAATGAGCTCTAAATTGTGTTGCAGGAATGAGGAGCTTGTATGAGGCCTTAAAGCTGTGATTGGAGCTACATTGAAGCAAGAAAGATCCCTAGGAGCTGAGTAAGCGAGAAGACGAGAAAAAGAATCGACCAAATGAAGGACTGGACTAGCGCTCCCACTAGCGCGACCGCGCTAGCCCAGATGGTCGAGGCAGAATGGTAGGCTACTAGCGCGGCCATTAGCGCGCCCACGTGCGCGGCTGCGCTAGCCCAGTTCTGGAAAATAATTCTCAGGGGTAAATTTGGAAGTCT